AAAGTTTAAAACTACATTCATTTATTTAGTGTGGTGTGTGTGTGCGCATGCTCCCAATGTGTGCTAAGATGCATGTGTAGTGGTGGAAAGATAACGTGTGGGGAGTCAGTTCTCACCTCCTACCGGGTAGGTCCAGGTGACTGAGCTCAGGTCATCAGGCTTGGTGCAGGCCTCCATTTTGAAAAATTCTTTAAGGAATTACACAAAAATTACTCCTTTCATGCCATAAGAGAGGGAGCCATTATAGGTTTAAAGAGAAATCAAGCACTAGGGAAATGTCCAGAGATCTACAAGGATGACCCCAACTAACCATCTAAGCAACAGTGGAGAGGCTACCTTAAATGCCCTCCCCAGATACTGAGATTGACGACTAACTTACATGCCATCCAAGAGCCTTCATCGAGAAACTGATGGAAGTAGAAGCAGACACCCACAGCTAAACACTGAATGAACTGGAAACAAGATGCAGAGAAGGATGAGTGATGAGCAAAGGGGTCCAGACCAGGCTGGTGAAACCCATAGAAACAGCTGACCTGAACAAGGGGGAATCTTCATCCCCAGACTGATAGCTGGGAAACCAGCATGGGACTGATCCTCACATGGATATCAGTGAGGAGGCCTCAGGAATCTATGGGGCCTTTTTTAGTAGATCAGTACTTTTCCCTAGTATAGGAATGGACTTTGGGAGACCATTCAACACAGAGTGATACTCCCTCATCCTAGACACACAGGGAAGGGTCTAGGCCCTATCCCAAAGGGTATGTTAGACTCTGAAGAACCCCCCCCTTGGAAGGCCTCACCCTTCCTGGGGAGCAGAAATGGTATGGAATAGGTAGGGTGTTATTGGGGGGGGGCAGGGGAGAAGGGAGAGTGAGAGGGATCTGGGATAGACATGTAAAACAATCTTGTTTCTAATTTAAATACAAAAATTGAGAAAACAAAAGAAAAACAAAAATTACTCCTTTTCTTAGTAGAAGAGCATATTCTCCACACTGGAAGGCAATCTCCTGGCACTGTCATCCTGGGAAAGGGAGGCTAAAGGTCACTGTGTAGCTGCTCCTCTCAGGGGACTGATCACATGGGCCTCTGCAGCTCATTTAGCAAAGGGTTACTTAAGTTGCATGAACTAGAAATAAGTTGTGGATAATTACTATAATATTAACAGTTTTAACTTCTCTTTGTGCTCATACATAGAATTTCTTATGGGACTCAAAAAAGACTTTTGTGCTGGGCAGTGGTTGCATACTCCTTTAGTCCCAGCACTTGGGAGGCAGAGGCAGATCTTTGTGAGTTCGAGGCCAGCCTGTTCTACAAAGCTACACAGAGAAAGCCTGTCTTGAAAAACAAAGAGACTTATGTATTTTTATTTTATGTGTACTGTTGTTTTGCTTACATGGATGTCTGTGTACCAAATGTGTGCAGGACTCACAGAGGCCAGAAGAGGGTGCCAGATATCTTGTAATTAAAGTTCCAGACTGGTTGTGAGGGAGTAGTGGTGTTGGGAGTAGAACCTGTGTCCTCATCCACTGTGCTAACTCTCCAGCTCTCTTTAGGGGTTTTGACATGAGGATACAACCAACACAATGCAAGTGGACTGCTGTGACACAAAAATATACACGCACCACGATGATGCAGCTCTCATTTCAGAAGCTAGACATGAGCCAAAACCAAGAAATAGAAATTTGCCAGTTTGTAAAAAGATAATTTTAATTCATATTTCTAACAAATGAGAAGAATAAACTTATCTGCTCTTATGACCTTTTTTTGTTGTTGTTGTTTTGTTTTTTTTTTGTTTTTTTTTTTTGTTTTTCGAGACATGGTTTCTCTGTGGCTTTGGAGGCTGTCCTGGAAGTAGCTCTTGTAGCCCAGGCTGGTCTTGAACTCACAGAGATCCGTCTGCCTCTGCCTCCCGAGTGCTGGGATTAAAGGCGTGCGCCACCACCACCCGGCTACATATGGCCAGTTTTTAAGATTTTCACTTGTCCTGTAATCTTTTGAAGGGTGTAAATCAGGTTTTTCATTAAGTTCCCAGAACATGCTGCTTTTAGTCCCTTTCAGTCTCAAGTGAGCTCGGGGCTTAGCTCTTATACATCTGCCATGGTATAACTTTATGTGTAACCTTAATTATACCTCATAGCACTGAAGTCTATTTTTTGCCTTTAGCCTGAGGTTGAGGGAAACTGGGGCAGATGCGTGGGGAGTTCAGTGATTATTTTGACTGGTGAATTTACTTAATTCAAAGGGTGGCCCTTAGCTCCTCAGTTCTGTATACAGGGCTTTTGTGCAAGGTAAAGGTTTCCATACATTGTGCTAACTAGGTTTGGCAGCACAGTGCTGCTTTACAGTATCTGTAAGATCAGCTTCAGGGCATCTACCAGGTCAGTGTTAAAGGATTTCTCAGTTGCTGTAGAGCTGGAGGTGGGCAGTGACCTGTTAAAGGAAATGTTCAAGTGGCTGAATGGACAAGCAATGACTACATGTGTGCATACCTGTGAGAAGGCACCATGATGGCATCCACCTGCCACACCTCGAAAGACTCATTGGAGACCATGGGCTGTGCTCACCGAGTTTTCAGAATTGTTTTCAGGATGGTGGACTGGGAGTTAGCCATGTTTAGCCCCTTTTCTGATTGGTCAGACCAGTATCGTTTTATGGAGAGTATTGTGTCCATGGATTTGTTTAGTGGATGTTCCATCCTCAGGTCCATGGGGGGGGGGGGCTCCAAGAGCCATGCAGAAGAGAGCCTTTCAGGCAGGGAACGGGTCCTCTTCCTGTCTCACATCTTGGGTCTGACTAGAAAGTGCCATGAAGTGATGGTTAGGCAGGACTCCCTCTTCTGATAAGCCTTTGCAGTGGAGTTCTTTGTTTTCTCTGAGGTGCACATTTGGGTTTGCTTTTTTTTTTTTTTAAAAAAAAAAACAAGATCATCAGTTTTCTAATATGTATATATAAGAAGTATAAATTATGTCACCCTTTTCTCACAGTGCTTGAAGATGCTTCCTCTTCTGTGCAAATAAATGCTTTTATGCCAGCAATGCCACCTCTCATATGGCACACTCCTTATTAGAACACCCTTGAGTATTTCCACTACAGGGTCTCTGAGCCTATCATTTCCTTTTTTTTTTTTTGAGACAGGGTCTCACTATGTAACTCTGGCTGTGCTGGAACTATGTAGATCAGGCTGGTTTTGAACTCATAGAGTTCCCAACATGGATGCTGGGAACCAAACTCCAGTGATCTCGATGATCAGGAAGTGCTCTTAACTGCTGATTCATCTCTCCCCTCTGTTTTTGAGTTTTAAGGGGGAAAAAAATCATCAGGAATTATTTATGTAAAAAGAACCAGAGATGGTGGCACATGGCTCAAATCCCAGCTCTCAGGAGGCAGAGGCAGGTGGGTCTCTGTGAATTTGAGGCCAGCCTTGTCTACAGAGCAAGTTACAGAACAGTCAGGACTACACAGAGAGACCCTGTGTCAACAAAATAAAACATAAGATTACCAGGGTTGGAGGGATGGTTCAATGGTTAAGAGCACTGGCTGCTCTTTCAGGGGTTCAGGTTTGATTCGCAGCACCTTCATGGCAGCTCACAACCACCTATAACTCTAATTGCAGGTGACCTAATGCCTTTTTTCTGGCCTCCACAGGCACTGCACACACATGGTAAAGAGATATTCATGAACAACACTCAGGCATTAAACAAATAAATAAAATTAAAAGGAACACTAGGTGGCGCTGGAGAGATGGCTAAGTAGTTAAGAGCCCTTGTTCACTCGCCAGCCATCTACAGGACAGCTTACAATGCTCATGTTCTATTCTGGCCCCTGAGGCACCAGTCTCATACATATAAAGAAAAATCGGTTGGTGTGGGGGTGGGACGGGAACTAGAGAAGGTAGGATGGTGGCACAGGCCAACAATCCCAGCACTCCAGAGGCTGAAACAGGAGTATCATGAATTCAAGATTTTTTATTAGTTCAAATTAGGAACAAGCTTGTTTCACATATCAATCCCTTCTCCCTCTGTCCCCCCTTGCCTCCACTCCTCCTCCCCCATCCCCGATCTACTCCCCACCCCATCCACCCTCCACTCCCCAGGCAGGGTAGGGCCCTCGATGGGGGCTCCCCAAAGGCCACCACATCATCCTGGGCCAGGCCTAGGCCCTTCCCCATGTGTCCAGGCCAAGAGTGCATCCCTTCACGTGGGATGGGCTCTCAAAGTCTCTTCTTATACCAGAGAAAAATACTAATCCACTACCAGGGCCCCCCTGGAGTGCAGAGGCCTCCTCATTGACATCCATGTTCAGGGGTCTGGATCAGTCCTGTACTGGCGTCCCAGTGCTCCCCCTTGTTCAGGCCAGCTGATTCTGTGGGTTTCACCAGCCTGGTACCGACCCCTTCAAACTTCATTCCTCCCTCTCTGCAACTAAGTTCCAGAGTTCAGTTCAGTGTTTATCTGTGGGTGTCTGCCTCTGCTTCCATCAGCCACTGGATGAGGGCTCTGAGGCTCAGGCATCCGGCGCAGGACCTTCATCAACTTTTGAAGCAACAAAATCTTAAGTATCTGTAAGTATAAACAGGAGCCTAACATAATTTGTTTCCGCAGAATAAAAATCCTTATTAATCCAAAAGAAAGCAAAGATGTGAACTGAACTTCCTTTGAAATCTGATTATTTTTGTTTCTTATCAGTTGATAGCTAAGGTGGTACTTTGCTGGGAGCCTGTGGCCTAGTTTCAGATCAGCATATGAACACTTGTTCAATGGGTTTCTTCAAGGTGAGACCCACAGCCTCTCACTTGGCAAGGACCAGTGGACCCTGGGACAGTGCAGAGTACTGCTGGGACTGTGTGGACTGGCACTCTCGTCTCTCATAATATTGGTGGTTTATAGTTCCACTTTGTCAGTCACCCACAGGACAGATGTAACCATTCCCGGAAACCCCATTTTTTTCTCCAGTACCTTCCCCTAATTTTATTGGGAGATGATGCTTCTCAGGTTTCTTATAGAGAGGCTTAGGAGTGCAGGACCCTTTTGTAAGGCAAAGGAACAGTTACAGAAATACAAGCTAACTGTACTCAGGCAGTTTCCGGCAAAGCAGCCCTATTTCTGTATATAGGCTTTGTTAAGCTTTGAATGATACTGTTGACCTTGAAAATGTGTGCCTATGTCCTTTAAATTGCGAGTATTACCTTTTAGCTTTGTAAGGACAGGATGTGCCTGGCTCAATATTCAGCCAACCTAACAAAATGCTGAGTGTTGTTTTTGTTTAAAAAGTTGTTTAGATGTAAAAGATGGGTAAAAAATGTTGTTTTTTCTGGAGGATAATCTTGGAGGGTGGGGAAGTATAAATGAAGTATAAATAAAGATAGCTGGAGCCATTCAGGGCCAGCCATATGTGTGAAACTTGGTGGCCGGACACTTCATTACTTTGTGCCCCTTTTCCGTCTCAGGACCTGAACCCGGGCTATGACAGGAATGAATGCTGTCTTAGTGATCAGTGTGAGGTGATGACATAAAAAGGTCTGCATATATAAATCTATATAAATCAGTGGAATCCACAAGATAGTGCCAACCCAGACCAAGGACCATTATTTATGCTTTCAAAACCATGTATTTTTATTTATGTGTATGTGTGTGTGTACGGGTGCTGGAGCTGGAGTTAGCCAGTTGTGAACTGCTTGGTTCAGGTGCTGGGAACCAAACTTAGGTCCTATAAGAGCAGTATGTGTTCTTAGCTGCTGAGCCATCTTTCCAGCCCCTGTTAATGTTTGTTCAAACAGTGGGCAATCATTCATATTTTAGTCAGCCATTTGGCAAATAATTGCTCAACTCCAGTGACCCAACAGTGACTGGGCCTTGCTTTCAGAGCTACAGCTCTTGTCACCTGCAGGAGGAGCATGGCAAGATATTAGCATTTGTCACACCTTATGTTTTCTGCACAATCACTCTGCTCCCAGACCATGAACACACACACACACACACACACACACACACACACACACACACACACCTGCATTATAGGTGTTAAATAAAATAAAACTTGAATAAAAATCACAGTTTTGATGGGATTGTCCTTTCTTCCCCACCCAAGTGTTTGTGGAAGAAAGTCTGGAGCTGCTGCCATGCATCCACCTGGGCCACAGCGTGAGGCTTAGGCTCCCCTCCAAAGGTGATATTAGCACCCACCAGGAGGTGCATGCCAGCCTTGCACAGTGGGAAGTAAGGGGGCTCAATATAGTGCCCTGCTTCTGGGTAGCAGATGATCTGGGGCTTCTCCTTCCCATGGGCCTCTAAGCGTTTGGAGATCTCATTGGCATAGAACTCGCTCTTCCAGTTGTGGTCATCCTGACCTACAAGCAACAGGAAGGCCGTGTCAGGCCTTTCCACGGGGATGAAGCTCTTCTCTTCCACCAAAGGGCTTTGCAGACCTTCCACAACATCCTTAAGGCCGTCTTTGGTCATTTTAACTCGATTTCTCAGAAGAGACACAGGGGGTATAGTCTCATCCTTGTAGTGTATGGTGTTCCCAACAGCAGCCACAGAGCCATTGATGATGACAGCAGCTTTGATGCCCTTCAGGAAGGAGGCCATAGCAAGGCCAAGTTCACCCCCTTTGGAAATCCCAAGCAGCCCAATTCCTGGACCTTTTACCTGAGAAAGACACAGACAGAAAAGAAGAAGAATGAGCCCACATAAAAGGTAAGGCAGTGAGTAGTACCCAGTCCTGCACATCAGGTTGTCCTGAGCCTAAGTATGACTCTATCCATCCTGACTTTGGAGGGTCACTGGGCATCTGAGAAGCTCAGAGTCTATCTGCTGCTCCAATGAGAAATCACAGGTCAAGCCGTGTTTGAGACAATTAAATAGCTGTTTTGCTATTTGCCTGGTATATCTGTGTATATAAAATCATAATCAAGTGTATATAAACAAAACAGAATCAACATAAGTTACTTTGGAAGATTCTGAATCACAATTAACAGCAGAGAATGATTCAGTCTTCAGAATGAGTCTCTTCCTCTTTATTGTGTTTCAGCCATTCCCCATCAGGTCTGTCACTTCACAAACATGGAATTTTACAATTGCTGTCCCCCTTTCCCTAGCTCTCCATCCCTTTTCCCACACTGTATCTATGTTTATGTGTAGGCAGACATGGCCTTGTCTTCCCTGCCTGTCTATGCTGTGTCTACCCCCTTTAGTATTTGCTGAGTGGATGAATACAAACTTATCAATAAATGACAGGCATATTCCAAGAGCTTCACAAGTATGAGTTATTTAATTCTTGTAACAAACCTGGAGGCCGGACACAAAATCACAGGCATAAGACTGTGACATGGCTAAGGTGACCCTCACACTCATGATTTGTCTTGATTACTTCAGTTTGGGTGGAAAATGGACATTGCTGGAGGTAACCATCTCCCCTCAGCAATCTGGGATGGTGGGTCACCCTACGAGAGATTCAAACATCTGTGTACCCCTGAGATCATCCCAGTTAAATATACTTTGCTCTGTGTATTTGAAAAGACTAAATAATGTTACAAAGCTTCAAGCTACTGGGTTGCAAATCCAACTTTGATTCCAGGAGGCATTTAGGACCCTGGATTTTAAATTGAAATACTCTAGCAACAAACCTGAGGGTGACTGAGCAGGTAGTTCACGGCTTCTTCAAAGTACTCCAGGTGAAAGATATCCATGCCCTTGGGGAGGTCATCGTAGTTATAATAAGCCAAAGCCATGACAGCAAAGCCCTTCCCAGCCAGCAGACTAGCTCGGTACTCCAGAAGGCCACCTCCAACTCCAAAAAGGTCCACAATTCCTGGAAAGGGTCCATTTCCTTAGAAATAAAAACAACCCCCCCCTGCAGATTTAGTTTCCAAATGTCTTGCTAACTCATTCTTCTGTTTATACAAGAGTCAAGAAGGACACAGAACATCCAAGCCTCTTTTCCTTTTTTGAAAATATGCCTTATTGGGTGGAATATTAGTGGGAGAAGCGATCTCACCTTTCCTAAAAATGCCAGATGGGGACTCTGCCCTCCTCTATTGCCTAGACTCACACTTGTGGGTGAGCCAGCTTTCCTCAGATCAGCAGCACAGCCCTGAGTGGCCAGCACCAGTGAGCTTCAGGGTGGCATGGGTGCTGGGTGTCTGTAAATCAAGGGCTTGCAATAAGTATGTTTCCTACTCTAGCAACACATAAACGTTTTTGGAACCTTACAGCTCAGAAACTGATGACTTGAGCACCCAAGTGTTTTGATATCTAATCATCCTTGGTTTTCTTGGAATAATCTAGAAAATAAATCCTCCTGCAACATTCACTCTTTGTATGTCCAAGGCTTGTAATTTTCAAAACCATCAAACTGAAGCCACATTTCATCTACATTTGCTACAGCTTTCTAGGATTTTTGTAATTGATGTGAAATCTCTTTATTTATTTATAAACAGTCGCATGTAGCACAGACTGGTATTGATAGCTTTGAACTCCAGTCTCATGTAGCACTAGTCTTGAACTCCTGACCCTACTGTGTCTACTTCCCCATTGCTGAGATTCAGGACATGGACCACCACATCCACTTTTTTGGTAATGGGGATTAAACCTAGGGTCTCCTGTGTGCTAGATAAACACTTAACTAAGTCACGTGTGGTAAAGTTTTAAGTCTCAAGACCCCAGATGATTGATTTTGTCCCTAATTGGAGATGTGTGCTGTGTTTCTACCCTGGGAAACACACTGAGGAACAGATCATACTTCATTTCTTTTTTTACTGATCATTAAGATTGTTGCTTTTGTCCCCTTATATTACAGTGCTGATAAATACCATAAACTCCAGGAGTTAGAACTGTATATGTAAATTAAATGCCCAGGTTATTCATATTGTTTATAATACACACACATTTGATCTCTTAGAACAGTAAAGTCATATTCACATTTCTGAATTTTTTTTTCGTTCACACACCAACATATCCTGCACACCCTTCCATCCTCCTCCAGGGTCACACAGCTTCACCCCATTTCTGACAGTTGCAGGTCACCTGAGAAGCTGGGTGTACATAGGAACACCCCCAGATGAGACCGGAAGATCCTCTCATGGGCTCCTTAGATGCCACAAACACACCCAGAGATTTGAGCAAGAGAGTGTCCTCAAAGTAGAACTGCCTCAGTCACAGGGCGTTCTGGCAGTTTTTAAAAGTGGAGCCGAACTCACTGAATACAGATATGGGTTGGCCAAACAAGGACAGAATACAATATGACAGCAATCTCGGCTATCGCAGGGACTGTCAGGCAGTGGGACGAATGAGGACAGCCTAACGGATTAGATGCGGTAAGAAGTATACAGAAGGGAGAAAAGGGACTTTCACAATGAGGGTGAAGCTAGGAAGGAAGCATTCCAGGGTCCTCAGGAAATCTGATCTTTAAAAACAGCGTTCTGATTGGGAGGGAGATCAGCCCTTCAGACTAAAACTGAAAGGGAACACAATTGCCCATGACGTCGGTAATAATAACTTCCCATGAAAGAGAGACCTTTTATTACGGAGACCTTTGAGTTCTTGAATTTTTGCGTATTACTACTTAAATATATAAACAAGTAAACACATTAAAGCATTTTAAAGTTTTGAACCAAAGAGCCACTTTCTCACTTTTCAGCATCACTTAAATGTTTTATAAGAAGTGCTGCCTGGCTGTGGTGGTTTGCAAGCCTTTAATCCCAGCACTTGGGAGACAGAGGCAGGCGGGCGGATTTCGGAAAAACATGCAAACAAACAAGCAAAACAAAAAACAAAACAAAACAAAAAGTGTCCTTTCCTTATCCTCAGACCTTCACTAAACTGCCATTTCTGTCTGCATTTCAAAGAAACGAGAAGCAATTGGCCAAATCCCCTAGAGCAGCTCTCTGTGAGTCGCTGAGTTTAAGTCCCTCTCAAAGCTGTGGCTCTTTTGCCTTGGGAAAAAGTTATCTCAGAATCACCCAAGACACAAAATTCCACGGCCCTCCACACCCCCGCTTCAGATTCCAGGCTTAAGAGTGGCACACAAGTCCTGCGGGTTAGAAGGCGCTGGCCCACCTTGCCTGAAGAGTTGCTTTCTGGAACACCAGATGCCAAACGTGAACCCGTGCACAACCACCCGCGGATCTTACTATCACAGAGAAAAGATTACTAGTTCATGGGGTTTGGGCGAGCTCTGATACTGTGCTTGTCGCAAAGGGAAGGTGGAGGGCTGCTCACCTGGAGGCAGGAAGAGCGTGGCGCGCACACGGCCCTCGCGCACGGGCACGCGCCGCACCCCGGGAGCCATGAAGTGACGCTCGTGCACCGCGCGCGCCAGCAGCCGCCCGCCGTCGGGCTCGTGGCCGTCCAGCACCTCCAGCTCCACCACGAAGGGCGTCTGCACGTCGCGCTTGATCAGGCGCCAGAATGGCCGTTCGGGCTCCAGGGCCCAGAGCAGCCCCATGGGCTCGATCCCGGCGAAGCTGCCGCCCAGCGCGGGCGCGCGCGCCAGGTCCAGGCCGCCGTGGTCGTCGGCGCGGTAGCGCGCGTGGGCGCGGAAGAGCGCGCCTTTCTCGTCTCGCAGGGCCGCGCGCAGCGTGACGGGCTGCTCGGGGGCCAGGCCGTGCACGGAGATGAGCACTGGCTGGTCGCAGAGGCAACCATCAGCAGGCTCCAGGATCATTATAGGAGCCATCTGGTCCTGGGCGGTAGATGCTTGCATCGCTTCAGAATCTGGCTGTGCCTTGGTGCTTCTAGGCCTCCCAAGACTTGCGGTTACAGCTTTAAATCCTTCCGGGATATTTGGCGCTAACCTCTGGGCCATGCCCCCTAGCGTTTGTTAGATATTACAGCATGGGAGATGAGTAATGATTAATCTTGTTTTACACCCTGGTGAAAGGTGAAACAACGTATAAAAGAAAGATTGAAAAAGATATCGTGGGGCTGGAGAGATGGCTCAGCAGTTAAGAGCACCGACTGCTCTTCCAGAGGACTCAGGTTCAATTCCCAGCACCCACACGACAGCTCACAACTGTAACTCCAGTTCCAGAGATGTTACACCCTCGCACAGACATACCTGCAGGCAAAACACCAATGCACGCAACATAAAAATAAATTATAAAAAAGAAAAAAATATCGTTCCAAAAATCTGGATTGTGCCAAAGCATTCCAGGAAACTGTAATTCTAGTAATCCACAAGAAACAGGGCCAGATGGCCTTAATCTTCTTTATGCCCTTACCAAGCCTTCTAGACTTAGCCTTTCTGGAGACTTTGGGGAACCTGGAGCCACTTCTATAGAAATCAGACCTCCTGGGGTGCAGACAAATTCTGCTCCTTAATTAGCATCCAGGTGGTGATGGTGGTGGTGGTGGCGGTTGGTTTGAGAGACTGTTTCACCTGGCTTGACCTTGAACTGCCTACATAGCCTGGAACTCCTGATCCTCCTGTCTCCACCGTCCAAGTGCTGGAGTCACAGGCCTGAGCCACCACTCTGCACTCTTCCAGTTCCTTATCAAGATATGTAACTAACTGTCTTTCACTGAAAAGTTTGCCTGGGATGATTCGATGGACTAATAAATAAAACTGTGCTAATACCAAGCATGGAATTGGTGTTTTCAAATTCAGCTGAGTGTCAGTTTGAGACTGTTATCAGTCAGAGTTCAGACAAGGAGAAAGATGATGAAAACGGGGTTATTTAAAAGGGTTCTGTAAATGGACTTATTACACAAGCCTGGACAACGCTATGTAGAAACAGAGACCATGGTTAAAAGGTTAGTCAAAGCTGGGAAGTTGGGAATAGAGAAATAAAGGGCTTGTAGCTGGGCATGAGACAGCTAAGCTGGGCCAGTGTTGGCAGGCAGACTGGCTTCCCCGGAAACTTCTCCCCGCCCGCCTCCCAAACAGCACCAGATCTCATTATGGATGATTGTGAACCACCATACAGTTGTTGGGAATTGAACTCAGGACTTTTGGAAGAGCAGCCAGTTGTCTTAACCACTGAGCCATCTCTCCAGCCCCCATTGGTATATTCTTGCTTCTAATGCAGCTAATTGTAGCTGACAAAATTTTTAGGGTGACTTCTGAAAAAAAAAGAAAAAAGAAAAACCATGATCTTTTCCAGTCTGTCCCGACTATGAGCTAAATATCAGGTAACCAGGGAAAACACGGCCATGGGTTGGTAGCTGTGATAACTGCTAACCCTCTGTAGACAGTAAAGGAAAAAGGCCCGCAGTAAAGCTATGAGATGATTACATAGCCTAGCAACAAAGACAGCATAGGTCAAATGGCTCGCAGACACTACCAAGGTCTAAGACTCACAAGACCTTCCAAGGTCAGAGGGGAGCAACCCTGGCCAAGAGTAGCAGACAGACAAGGTCAAGAGCTAATAATGCAGAAGTCAGAGATGGGCAGCGAAGGGCTTCCACCACCCCGACTAGGCAAGAAGTTACATGAAGAGCCTGTCACCCTGCTGGTTGGGCCAGGAGAATGTGAATAGTGTATTGGCTCCTCTCCCCATGGTCAGAGAATTAACCCATCTCAGGAGGAATTACCTCATTGTTGGCTGGCATTCTGCACAAGTCCTGTAAGAAGCCCCTAGATAAGTTCAGGGATTGTTTATTTTTGTTTTTTCTTCTCTTGGGGACCTCTCCAGAAGTCTGTGTAAGCAGAACTTTCTAGAACTCTGCTATCTTTCATAAATCTTCCATTTTTGTACTTCAAGCTTTATGCCTATGGCGATAAAACTATTCTTCAACTTTTGTTGGATAATTCCATTCAAGTTTCCTCAGTCAAGGACCTGGAGGTGACTCCGGAGTTTTTCTGATCTAAAGCAGCATTTCTTTGTCTACTTATGATCAAGAAACTCCCAGAGGGTTTCTCTCTGAGAGCTCTCCGAAAGTCTCCATGACTAAGAGACACAGGTTCTAAACTCAGTGTGGAAAAGGCCGGGTTACTGAAACTGGCATCTGTGTCAGAACTCATCCTGCCAAGAGAGAGAAACTTTATTGTCTGAACTGGGGTTGAGAACACTTACTTATCAAAATGTTGGAGAACTGAAATTTTTTGAAGCATAAGTGAGAGGTAAGCTCCTAGCTGCCAAGTGGGGCAAAGTTCTGTGCTTGTGTAATGGAGAGTGGTTAGAGATGTCAGTCAAAGGTGGTCGACTGACAGTTCCTACAGAAGACTGAGTTAAATGTAAAATCCAGTCATCTGAATTCTTAGACTACCAGTCACGGAATTGACACCAAGTTGCTCTCTGAGTTTTTTTCCTGGAGAAACCAGAGGGGAGAAGAAATAGATTCCCTAAACAGGCCAGGTTCAAGCATGGAAGACCAGAGTCCTGCTGTTCTTTCCCGACAAGCGTCAGCACTTCCATCTCCACGTGAGTAACCCAAAGGACCTGATATCTTATCCATTCTGTTCCTTTTCTTCCTTTTTTTTTCTTTTTTTTTTTTTTGGAGAAAATCATTTCAAAATGACCAAGCTTCTTCCTGTTCTTTTTGCTGTGAAACTGGCCTCCTCTGCTTAGCTGATGAGAGCACTTGTTTAAAGAATGAAGTGCTGCCTGGGTCTAGTAAAACCAAACCATGAAAAATCTCCGTTGTTGCATGTTTTCCTCTCCTGCCCTGTGATTAACGGATGTCATCCCACTACTTTAGAGGGCTTTCCCTGTAGGTACTGTCACCCTCACTAAGTTCATTCACTTTGCTGTGGCTCTGAGGTTTGGCCCCTTTTCTGATAAACATGTGGAACAGACTCCTGTGCCATAGCCCTGATGTCACTCATGTCCCCAGATCTGATCCTATTGTGTAGAGCTGTTATGAGTGACATAGGGGAACTCCTATGTTCCTATGGTAACATTGGAACAAACCTTTCCTAAAGATAGCAGTAAGTGAAATTCAAACAGACCCCACAGTCAATAGCACCATGTCAGTTTCCAAATCACTATATTTGACCTATGGTGTATGAGATCTCAGCATTAGGGGAAGCTGATGAACTGTGTAAGTGGCTCTGAGGTTTTGGAAATTTGTGTAACTGTAAAATGTCTTCGAAATTAAAAGTTTAGATCCTCTGTGGTAGTTTAATCACTCTTAGAGCTGAATAATTTTATTCTGTCTGTGTTTTGTTGAGGAGGAGGATTCGAGGTAGATAGCTTGTGGTGGTCTAGCTTGTCCTCTATCTACAGTGGATTAAAAGGTAGAGGTTGGGAAGACCTCACACTTAGCTTTAAGTGATAGTCAGCTTTGCTGGCCTGTGACAAACCATGTTGTGGCTCGGGTGTGGGTTCACAAGGGTTTGTGGAAAGAAGACTCAGAAGCACCTTAAGAATGAATTTAGCCTTTCTCCGCTGCTGGGTTGTGGTGATATTTTGTTTATGATCTAATAAAGCTTGTTGAAGATCAGAGTGCAAAGTTAGTCACAAACACAGAGGCCAGGCAGTGGTGGTACACACATTTAATTCCAGGACTCAGGAGACTGAGGCAGTCGATCTCTGTGAGTTCAAGGCTACCCGGGGCTACATGAAATTGAATCAGTCTAAAAGAGAAACAGAGCTCACACCTTTAATCCCAGCACTAGAGAGGTGGAGACTGGAGTGATATGGCTGGGCAGAGAGAGGATTTTAAGGTGGGAGGAGACAGGAACTCAGGGTAGTCTCAGTGAGTCTGAGCAGCAGTGCAGTCTGAGGAGCAGTGCGGTTTGGAGATACAATCTGAGGATGTGAAAGTCTGAGTTTCTGTGGATTGCCCCTTTGGTCTGAGCATTGGTAGAGGTGAGAACTCTCTAGAGACTGGCCGCTTTGCTTCTCTGATCTTCAGCTTTAACCCCAATATCTGTCTCTGGGGTTTTTATTATTATTATTATTATTATTCATGCTACATAGGATGGAAGCCCAGGACTTCCTTTATTATTCTCCAGTTTATACCTTAGCAAGTTGATTTCCATGTCCTCAAAACAACCTGACTGGGCCTCCAAAGGGACAATGCCAAAGGCAACTCTGAATAAGAAAATAGCACAGTTTTCTGGTTTTTTTTTTTCTAACCAAATTTTGCATAGGCTTTGCACCTTTGGGAAAATCTCAGACAAGATTCACACAGAGGGCAACTAGAGAAACAAAAAGTATCCAATAAACAAAAGATGGATTAGGGCTAGGCACTAGCATTCTGGAGCCAGACCATGTATAGCCCATCAGGAATGCTCCCACAAAACCACCTGAGCTACTCAGCTCATTAATACAAGCGATTGCTTTCAGTGCCTGTGACAAACCACCTGAGTACTTGGATTATTAATACAAGAGGGAAAGGTTATTTTAGTTCCTGGCTTCAGAGGTCTCATTCCACAGTAGTTTGGCTTTATTGCTTTGGGTCTGTGGTAAGACAGAACACCATTGCAGGGCACACAGGGCAGAGCAGAGCTGCCCCCTGCATGGCAGCTAGGAAGCAGAGTGACAGGAGGGGCAGATCTCCCTCAAGTGGCCTCACTTCTCCCATCCATCAGGCCCACCTCCTAAAGGTTGCACCACCTCCTAATAGTGCCACAGACTGGAAACCAAGCCTTTACAATGCAGCCTTTGGAGGATATTTGAGAGCCGAACATAATAGGAAGGTTGCTTTGACTAAGGATAAGTAATTGAAATGGAAGGCTCGTTTTCAAGATGACCACTGCCACTGTGTGCAAGGCCTTGTCATCCTGGTGACAGCCTGGTGTCTACCTCTCTTGACTCACCTCTCAAACCCTTATCTTTAAGTCACCTAGTTGAGTACTCGCCAAGACCTTTCCCCTGATTGCGGCTGATACTCAAGTTGAGAAATTAAATGTTTTCTGGACCATTGATTACTTTT